ATCCCTCAATGCTGTGTCACCCTTGCACATTGGCACACATTTCCCTGTAACAAATTCGTTCTCCATTGTGTTCATCGGGGAAATACTAATTTAGTGCCACAAAATTCATCAAGGATGTCAAATGGACCAAAAATAAATAATACATTTTAGGGATAACAGTGCGTTATTACTCAGAATTGGAGAGGGAATGAAAAAAGGAAATGAACCCCTGCTCTTGGAAGTTTTTTTTTGAATGCAATTGGGTTTTCATATGTGGCAAACAAAATAATCATTGAAAAAATTGAAATCTTCGGAAGATGTAGGAAAGATAATGTAAAAACTTTTTTTTGGCCAGAAAAAGTTTCAACAGTTTGTGAGATGGTTGGAGAACTCTCACTGGAACTGGAAAGCGTTCACTAATCATCATGCCATAAATCTAAATTATAAAAAAATTCCAGAACCTTACAATTGCATGGACAACATAATATACGGTGATTTATTTCTACAGTGGTACCTACTCCAGAAATACCAAAAGCCAAGCAGGAAGTGGGACAACCCTTGTATATACTGTACAGTACAATATACACAGAATCACATAAAATTACTGTACTTCAAAAAAATGCACACATTGATCTGATTCTCCTGATGGTCAAGGGTTTCTATTACTGATTCCACGTCCTTGAACAGAATGAAACCCTTGCAAGATTACCATCACACACCTGAACAAAGGCGATTCTAGGAACAAAAGCTACCACGCCAAGAGTGGAAAGAAGCATTAAATCACGCCGAGCCGCCTTCGTGACTAGAATACTAGGTGTAGTTATAATGACCGCAATGCTACACAGGACATTCTTCCTTTGAACGTATACACGAATTGCGAAGTTCCCGTACATGAGTAGCTTCCAACATTCCGCACTTCAAAAATATTCGAGGAGTCACTAATTTCATGTCCTTAGTAATGTACGTCACACTTTGATTCTTTGCCAAGGGATACACACCGAAGTGCCGTTCAAACATATCTCATAACAGTAGCGTACTTATGCCGAATTCAATGCGATCCAAGAACAGTTTTCAGATCATTCTCAACAGGGGAAACCTAGCTTGTCTCCTGTTTGATAGTTCAATAAAAGTTCAGGAGATTACAGAAATACAGGATGTAAAATGTATGGCCTGTCTACAACGATTTTGTCAACAAGGATATTTTCTGTTAGGGATTCCAATAAGCAAGGATCTTTTCCAACATAAACTATCTCAGATCTTTTGAGGTTCAGATACAAGAAGGAATTTTTGCTGAGACATACGTTATTGTAATAACCAGTAGCTCTCATCTCGGGAAGGGGGGGGGGGGGATCATGTTATATAGCAGAAAACATCTGATGTTTTCTAGGTCGGGGCACATGTTTCTCCGCTGACCAGAAGTGGGACAACCCTTGTATATACTGTACAGTACAATATACACAGAATCACATAAAATTACTGTACTTCAAAAAAATGCACACATTGATCTGATTCTCCTGATGGTCAAGGGTTTCTATTACTGATCCCACGTCCTTGAACAGAATGAAACCCTTGCAAGATTACCATCACACACCTGAACAAAGGCGATTCTAGGAACAAAAGCTACCACGCCAAGAGTGGAAAGAAGCACTAAATCACGCCGAGCCGCCTTCGTGACTAGAATACTAGGTGTAGTTATAATGACCGCAATGCTACACAGGACACACTTCCTTTGAACGTATACACGAATTGCGAAGTTCCCGTACATGAGTAGCTTCCAACATTCCGCACTTCAAAAATACAGCATTCGAGGAGTGACTCATTTTATGTCCTTAGTAATGTACGTCACACTTTGATTCCTTGCCAAGGAATACACACCGAAGTGCCGTTCAAACGTATCTCATAACAGTAGCGTACTTTTGCCGAATTCAATGCGATCCAAGAACAGTTTCCAGATCATTCTCAACAGGGGAAACCTTCTGTCTCCTGTTTGATAGTTCACTAGAAGTTCAGGAGATAACAGAAATACAGGATGTAACATTTATGGCCTGTCTACAACGATTTTGTCAACAATGATATTCTCTGTTAGGGATTCCAAGCAAGGATCTTTTCCAACATAAACTATCTCAGAGATCTTTTGAGGTTCAGATACAAGAAGGAATTTTTGCTAGGACATACGTTATTGTAATAACCAGTAGCTCTCATCTCGGGAAGGGGGGGGGGGGATCATGTCACATAGCAGAAAACATCTGATGTTTTCTAGGTCGGGGCACATGTTTCTCCGCTGACCTCATGTCGTTAAGCTGCTTCACATACCATCAAAATTTCCTCCTCTTTTGCGATTGAAAAAAATTTCTCTCTCTCAACCGGTTCTCTGCTTGGGAGGCGGTTTATCGTGTTGGCAACACCGCGAGAATGGAATGAGAGAAAAACAAGGTACCAATAACTTGGCCCTAATCCTGGCACGTCCCAGCTGCGCGCAAAAGGAGGCCACTCAAGGCTGCGCGATGGTCACGCATTCCACCGCCAGGCGCCGCGAGCGTCCAGCACCAAGAAAGGAGGCGAACGAAAAAAAATAATGATCAACGCGAGGGAAGGTCCAAAAAAATGTCTCGAAACTCGACGGACTCGCTGCCATCATTTAAATTGCCTTTCCTGATGGGAACAGTAATACTGTAACTTTTCTGAATCATTCATCCATCCTTACTGTACGTGTGTGAAACACGGCTTGAAGTGTGTGGACACCACGTTCGGACATTTGACAGCAGGTGCGCATACGCATCATGTAGTAAAATATCTCTCAAATGAAATAAGGTTTGAGAAAATTTTCAGGACCAACAGGATGAACGTTTTAATACATTGCACAAAAAAAGGGGAAATACTGTACAGTACTTCATCGATGTTCAGAACCTGTCCGTGAAAATAACACACTATATAGCCTTATTCGCATAAATTATTTTTCAATCACAAATGTGGGACAAAGGTTCAGGAACTTCAACTAGCATGCACCCACATTTTATAAAATATTCTTACTCACACAGAACAACAATATAAGCTGTGTTGTGCCACAAAATCGGCAAGAACGTTCTGACGTTTCTCTGAATGACCATCAGGTAATGTGCGAGGCATTTTTGTTCTTTTCTGAACATGAACATCACTGCTCCAGTGCTCAATAATTTTATTCATTTCTATTCGCATAATTTTTAGTCGTCTCGTGAATCATCCAGCGTATGCTTAGTAAGAAGGAATCCCGCAGACCAATTTTCGAATGGAACTTCGCGACTCCGCGACGTTTTCACGTCGCTGACGAGCTCAGGTATTCGAAAAATAAATGAAGATGGGACGAACTTGATAACGAGGGGGAAAATGGGCCAGGGTATTGAGACATTTCATAGAGAGGGAGAGAGATTTTATGTTGATGATGATGAATGGAAAAAACTTGATTGGCAAGAAAAATAAATGAAGATGGGACGAACTTGATAACGAGGGGGAAAATGGGCCAGGGTATTGAGACATTTCATAGAGAGGGAGAGAGATTTTATGTTGATGATGATGAATGGAAAAAACTTAATTGGCACTGAATGCCAGCACTGCGGTTCGATTCCATCAGTGGAGCGATTCTTTTCTTCCCTAGGTCTGGAACCGCAGGATTGAACTTGATTACCTTCGGGTTCATTTCGCGGTCATCTAATGAATTCATCAGCCCTTTTGATCACGTAAAAATGAATTAATCTCTGAATTTTTTTTCGCAGCACGTTTAGAAATGCCAAGGATCCGCAAATCGAAATCAGACGCTGTTCTTTCGTAAACCCAAGCTCGCAAAGAAGAAAACTACTGATCTCAAAATACAGTATGAAATACGGTATTGTAATTCTAATGGGTTTTCATCTTTCACGCAGTTCCTTTCTCAACGTGAAACGTGGGCTAGGCTTTTTATATATTATCGATTTCACAAAATATATAATTCTTCCATCTTTCGCACAAACGAAAATGATTTTTGTGGGCTCGAAGTAGGGTTTACCGGCACCTACAATTTACCCCCCCCCCCGAAAAAAAACATTCGATTACTATGCCTTCTTTTAGAACGGAAGTATTGTTCTCCTGTAATCGATCGGCGTCGAACGCATTCCGAACAGAACAAAAAGCCCTCCTCAAGGCTCGGGGCCAGCAACTAAACAAGCCAGAAAGGAATGCTCAGCACGAGGAAGCGGATCAAGAAGCTTTTTTTTTGTCGATACCCGATCAATTTTCGGAGGGAGGTCTGGACAACTACGTCACACATGCCGACAAAGCCATATCATAACTACTGATACCCACGCATCACGACCCGGGAAATGAAGGGAAAGTCCATAAAAAAATACCCTCGAACGAACCCTTTGGGACACGAAGACAATAGCAGGTAAGGAGTTTGAGGCGGCACATTATTCAGACATTATCTTCGACGCCGCGCTTCATAATCAAACTTTTTCCACATTAAAACGGTGTCTAGTCATCTTTGTTTCTCAAGGATTCTCGTCAATCCTGTGATGTCGCGAAGCAGAAATCAAAATCAACATGTGCGATACAAAGCGCCACTTACACATTATTGTTGATACAATTTCTTGAAGCTGAAGAGGCAAAGAAAACGAACAATGTTCAGCTGACAATATGGCGAGAGTTGGTTTGAGAAGCTCTAGGCAAATTTCTCCGATTTAAGATATATTATAAATTGCAGCATTCAGCCCGATGAGTATTTTAAAAGGGAGATCAGTAATAGGAGTTGCGATCCTACTGGTGAACAATTAACAGATCAAAATAAATTCCTATTCATGCGTGAAACAGGCCGAATTTATCTCTAGATCCTTTTCACTTTATTTTGCGACCTTTGCAAGATTTCTTCCTATTTCACGAATCAGCTGTCTGAGTTAAAGTTTCGTACTATTCAGTCGCGTAAAAACATCAAAACAATTCTATCGGATAAAGCCCCCAAGATTCACGTGCATGAATTTTGTTGCAGCTGTTGTTGTTTTTGTTGAGAAACTTACCGTCACTGTCCATTCCTTCGTATCCGGAGATCATGTTGCCATGCAGGGACAATGGTGTCGACTCTCCGGCTTCAGCCCCGCTAGCGAAACCAGATTCGGCTGGCGAGGCGACTTGCGCGATCGTCACGTCGCACACAGAGGGCATCGCTGCTGTCCACGAGTACAAAGCGGCGTGCAACGCTGATCCAGCCTGAGGTTCGAATAATGAAACAATCGAAAACCCCGGTGAAGAGCTGCTAGCGAAATTGACTCAATAACATAGAGAAGGTACGGTACTGAGTTTCCAAGACAGTAAAGAATTCATTTTCTGAAATTTAATTGCTGATGAACCGCCCTCGGATACGCAGAATATTGAACCCTTTATGCTTTTTTTATTCATAAGCAAAGGAAGATTCGAGCATTGTACTAACCAAGAAACCAAAGCAAATTCATCCCGACGGTTACAGGGATATGTGTGTTTAAAATTAGAGAAATTCAGAAACATAAAAAGACCCCCCATCTTCTTATTCAAAATGGCTCCAATATTTAAATGAAAAAGTACTGCACTAAGAATAGAGAATTCTATATCGCCTACTCTATTTCCCTAATTTTAGTTGCGACGCTTTCAAAAAAAAAAATTGCGCGCACACCAATGATCAGTTAGGTAAGAATGAAACACGTTCGTGAGCCATGATTCTCATCGAAGAGTACAAAACTTACTACAATAGAATAATTAACCCGTGATAAAAGCTGACATGGTTCTTCAGAACTGAAAAATAATACACACAGAAGAAAATGGTCAGCCCATTTTTCAAGATTTACTCACGTCTCCGGCGCGTTCCTTGAACTCTTCTTCCGTGAAGCACAAGAGCGTTGCTCCGTCGACAGCGAATTTCGTCAGGTCGACGGGCTTCATGTTGTACTGCTTGGCAGACAAGGAAATCCATTTGTGCACATCTTCCACGGTCCACATTGTCGGATCTAAAAGAAAAAAAAAACAAGACAACGATTAATAAAATGAGGAATTCTTCAAGCCACTCGAAAAGAATGCTTCAACTTCAAAATTTCTTCAACAGATGAAAGTCCATCATAGCTTAAATCTGATTCAAAAAAGCAAGAAAAAGGGGTTAGACTAGCATTTCCAAGTCATGAAGGGAACCTCCGAAACTCAAAAGCTATCCTCTTAGGTAGACGCAATAAACCGTATATTTAGTCCATTACTCTTTTGCTTAAGCCTTAAGGCTCCACCAAAATATCGCAAGCCCCAAATTCTAATAACCCAAGATTCACAAAATAAAGAAGGTAACAATTCATAAAAAAAAATCACCAACAACAAGAGGTAGGCACAGGTGTGCTCGGGAAAATATTATCTTTAAAAATTTTTTTTTTATCACTTAAGAAAAGAACACCTGAAGATCATCCAACTCTGCTGAAACACAGCTTGAATTTCTTTGACGCATAAATTGTAAGCTTCTGTAAGAGCAGCTTGAAAAACTAACACAATCAATTCGAGGGAAGGTTTTTCCATCATTCGCGGAATTCCATGAAAGATAGAAGTACAGTACTTTACTCGACGTGGAATTCAGAGACACTTACGAACCGACATGAAATACCTGGACTCGTGTCGGAGAGTTATCATCTAAGGCTAAATTCTCCTCAATTTAAAGACTTTCTTTCCCTTCCCGAACAACGCTTTTCCGTAAGTTTGAACAGTTCCCAATGAAACATACTTCATTTTATGTTTCACACAACAATTCTAGTCCACGGAATGTGTTCGTTCAGAGAGTCCTCGCATGTAAGTCATCTTGAAGTTTACATCAGGTTATTCTTTCGAAAAGCTCAAAAAACCTTTAAAACATTCCCTATCCCAATTGTTTACACATTACTCAGGAAAAAAAAACGTAATTTGAACATAAAACGAGGCAACAAAGCCAAGGAAACTGAAGTACAGTACTTTAGTAATCGAGTTTCCCATCATTGAGGACAATCGCTACAACAACAGCTCCGAGGCAAAATGCGCATGAAAAGACGTACAAGTGACAGTCCTAGGAATGATGATCTCTCAACAAGTTCTTTCTCTAACGAACAGATGCTGTACCACGTAACTTCATCCAATGATTGAGGTAAGGAGTTTGAGGCGGCACATTATTCAGACATTATCTTCGACGCCGCGCTTCATAATCAAACTTTTTCCACATTAAAACGGTGTCTAGTCATCTTTGTTTCTCAAGGATTCTCGTCAATCCTGTCGCGAAGCAGGAATCAAAATCAACATGTGCGATACAAAGCGCCACTTACACATTATTGTTGATACAATTTCTTGAAGCTAAAAAGGCAAAGAAAACGAACAATGTTCAGCTGAAAAATATGGCGAGAGTTGGTTTGAGAAGCTCTAGGCAAATTTCTTCGATTCAAGAAATTTTAAAAATTGCAGCATTGCTCAGTATTTAACCCGATGAGTACTTTGGAAGGAACATTAGTAATGGGACTTGCGATTCTTACTGGTGAACAATTAACAGATCAAAATAAATTCGCATTCGTATTCATGCGTGAAACAGGCCAAATTTATCTCTAGATCCTTTTCAATTTTTATTTTTATTTTTTGCGACCTTTGCAAGATTTCTTCCTGTTTCACGAATCAGCTGTCTGAGGTCAAGTTTCGTACTATTCAGTCGCGTAAAAACATCAAGACAATTTTATCGGATAAAGCCCCCAAGATTCGCGTGCATGAATTTTGTTGCAGCTGTTGTTGTTTTTGTTGAGAAACTTACCGTCACTGTCCATTCCTTCGTATCCGGAGATCATGTTGCCATGCAGGGACAATGGTGTCGACTCTCCGGCTTCAGCCC